AAGGGACTCCTTTTCAAGACCAATATTTATAGGTTCCCAAAATTATTTACCTTGGTCAGTATTTTTCTATGATGGCCACACTTCGGGTCAGGTAACTTTTGGCAGCTTTCAGAGTGGGCAGGAGGGGTCTCATGTATGTTCTGCAAACAGAGTTCCAGGTGGGGTCAGGAAGTGCCTGATCACCCCAAAACACTGTTATTTGCGGTAGGACAAGCATGTACCCAGCTGTTTGAACTCACTGCTCCAGCAAGCAAGGTCTGGAAGTGCTGGACTTTCCCACTGCACCTGCTATAGAAACAAGACCAGTGTTGGGCCCATCACCCTTGTAACCAAAGCAAGAGCAGTGGCTGGTGTTCACCTTGCAACGTGGCTCAGTGGGGTGAGGTCTGTGACACCACTTCTAGGCAGCTGCAGGACATGTTTGCCTGCCCTTATCCTCCTATCTGCCTTGGATCTGAGAGGCTGGCTGTGAAACACTGCATGTTCTGCCTTCCAACAAGGCTCAAGCTGTGTTTGGCTGGGCACTGTTTAACCTACACTGCTACAAGTCCTTCTTACCACTGAAGAGCCTCCATAGGGAAGTGTAGGTTGCTGTGCTGAGGACAAGTCAAACTTTACTGTTCCTGAGCTGGATATTGTCTGCATGGAAACTGACAGTTGTGAAGCAGCAAGGGAGAAGGAAATCCCACATCTGGGCAGAGGAATCTGGAGGCTCCAGGGGACTTCTACACTGGGAACTGAATTTCTTCTTTCGTACTCAGACCACGTGTCTTCCTCCTTATGTCTGAGGGAAGAGCAATGGGCAGGACAGTGGCAGGTGAAGCAGGCAGATGCAAGAGGCAGGAGATGCCTGGAGCTGGGAGCTTTGATCTTACTGGGAGATCAAAGCCAGCCCTGGAATCAGATTATGAGTGCTGGGAAGAAGCTTGCTGCTGAGCCTGTTCCTGGTGCCATGGCAACAGGCCATCAATTTCCTTGCAGGCCCCGTCTCTCCAGTTGTAAAGTGGATTAATGACAGAGATCTCCTTTCACAACACCCTTTAAGATATGATGGTGAAGGGTGGGTTAGCAGAGCCTGAGTCACAGGACCATAAATGTATGGTTTTATTGGGTGCACAGGACCACTAGAGCAAAACCTCCAGAGACAGACTAAAGATCCACATCTCCAAAGAGCTGTGACTTCTTCCAGGGACTCCCTCCATTGAAACTCTTATTTTAGAAACATAGGGGTGGAAAAGGGGTCGGGGGAGTGTGACTGTGCATGTGTATTGTGAATATTTTCCAAGGAAATCAGGTGGCCTGTGACAAATTCCAGTAACTGACTGGGCAATGGGAGAGAGAAGAGTGCCTAAATAAATGCACTTGGTAGAAGACATGACAATATGTCACCAAAGACCACAGCTTCTGATATCTTATGAGCCCTTTAGTGCGTGGTTTCTTTTGTTACTTTACTTAAGAGTTCCCTGGCATTTCTCTAATAAAGCCTTCTACCTCCTCATTCTCATTTCCACCCACTGGTTTCTCACTTCTCTCTTCCCAATGTCTTTTCACCTGCTCTTCTACAACTCCTAGGGGGGTTTTGTTGATTGTTTTTGTTGTTGTTGCTGGGTTGGGTTTTTTTGGCGTTTTAAATGTCTGTAATAGTGTGAGTTTCCATGGAGTCAACAAGCAGCTGCAGTCACTGATGTTAGGGAGATTCAGGGTGGAAGAAGAACAAGTTTGAGCACGAGTTGTGGGGAGGAGACAGGGTTGTACTGAGGTTTCAGTAAGTGTGGAGAACTGGATTCTTCTTCTCTGTTAGCAAAAGGGATAAACAGAGCTGGAGGTGGCAACACTGACGAGCAGCCACACATAGGGCTCAGTGGAGAAAAAGAATTAGAGTAGCATGTGAGTGAGAGCGCAGGAATTATGGGTTTGTGCTTGTAGGACTCTCTGGCAGCAATTTAAGGGGAGGTGTAAGTGGAAAAATCGAAACTGAAGCATTCAGAATTGAAGCTGCTGAAGATTTAGATTCTTCAGCCAAGGCAAGTGTTGATTCAGGTGAGATGGAAATGGAAAAACTTAGGATCATCCTCTATGTCCTCAGAATTTTTGATCAAGATTTTCCTTTGTTTCTTATTGGTGAGCACATTTAGTTTGTGTAAGGTCTTTCTCACTGGAGGTAAAGATATGTTCAAATCTGATCCTCAGTTCCTTCTTCTTGGACTCTAAAGTAACAGGGAGTACAGCCTACCCTCAGTCTCCAGTCTGAATTAGTCTCTCTTACAGTTAAATCCAGCTTACTGTTTTGCAGGCACAGTGAGATAAAACTCTTGCTCATTATCAGATGACATCACCTCCCATTGCCCCTGAGCATCCAGGTCTGGAAGAGGTACACGTGGTTCCATCTTCTCTCTGTGGCATTGTGTCACAGACTGCAGCTGCACAGCCCTGCAGAGCTGGGACCTTCCAACAAAGCCTTTCAGCAGCCATCTGTCTGCCTCTAGCAGCCTGACAACCATGTCCCTGCATTCCTGAGCTCTGGTCAGTGAGCTCAGCTGCTGTAGGTCATTGAACAAATCCACTGAACGGGTGGATTCCTGAGGTACAAGAACCATCAGGGGACCTGCCACCACTACCTGGACTCACTGGCATGGCAGCCTTTCAAATCAGTTACAACAAAGCCTCTCCCAGAGCCTCCAGAGAGTACGTGGTGTGTAATCAGTCTGCAAGGGCTGAGCTCCTGCTCAGTGCACTCTGCAAGTAGCTGGGATTTTCAGTCTGGCAGGAGAGCACCAGGGGATTGCAGGGATCAATACTCATCACCATCAGAGCATGATAAGGGTTTCAGTTGTGGTTTGTTCTGCTGCAGCCCTTGGGGCCTGGGCCAGCACATCCAGTGCTACCAAATATTGAGAAAATGCAGGTGCTAAAACTTTTTATTTTTATTTTTTAGGAAAACACTGGACCACTTTTGTACCTGTGCTCTGCCTCCAGACTGAAATAACTTTGTAGAGCTCACGAGCCTTTCCTGAAACACCTTGGTTCTTGGTTTGTTCTTGACTTTCAGGATGCAGACCCTGGGACAGGTTTCTGTGTTTGCATGGCTCTTGCATTTCCTCTAGGTACTGCAAAGGGCTGGGAAATAATCCTCACTGCATTCCCAGTGATTTGCACTGTGCATAAAAAATGCATCTTAAAGCAATCTGTGACCAAAAAAAAATAAATAAATAAAAGTTGGCCAAGGAGCAGTAAATAAAACAAGATCCATCTCTGGAATAACTTGCTGTTTCACCAGGCTGAGGAAATACTTGCTGCCTTTTTATTCGCATGTGCACTGGCTAATGTAGATGAGGAGTTCTACTGGCTGTGGAAAACCATAAAGTACTAGCAGAGGGATAGAGGAGGTAAAGGAGCAGTGTCAGTGCTCTCTCCATTTCCCTTTGTTTTTAAACACAGACACTTCACAGGATAACCAGGGGGAAGACTGTCACACCAGCAAAAGGACAGGGGCCAGTCCTGCAGTCTGGAACCAGAGGAAGCCTGCAGTCTTGTCTTCTGTTTTGTTGGTGGTTTTTTTCGTTCTTTTTGTTTGTTTGTTTTTTAACTTAACAGATGAGTTGTTATAACCTTGGTGGTGCCAGATCTTAAAACTGTTTCACAGCTTTCCTAAGATGTTCCCCCTGGAGCTCCAGCTCTTGGTTATATTTAAATACATAGCAATCTCAGCTAATTTATAATTTAATTTACTTTTGCTTACAGAGATACAGGAGGCAGGGAGCAAAAATACGTGACCCTCAATATCCCCACACCAAAAGTAAATACTTATTTGTTCTAAATTTTGGTGACACTTTAATCCTCTTTAGTGATGGGAAGGGGGAAAAGGCAGCCAGTTCAGACTTCTGGAATATTTGGGTTTGTAATTTCTGCAAACCTGCTGTTCTGTCCCTTTGGTTTGTAGGTAGCACATGGAAGAAGATACTCTATGTGTGTTCACAGCAGCTGTAGCAGGTGCTGGTAACAATCATGGGGTGTCAGTAGAGGATGTGACAACTGCAGTATCATAGAATAGAACAGGGTTTTTTTTGGGAAAGACCCTTAAGATCATCAAGTTGAACTGCTAATCCAGCACTGCCAAGGCCACCACTAAACCATGTCCCTGGGCACAGCTTCTATGTACCTCCAGGCATGGTGACCCAACCACTTCCCTGGGCAGCCTCTTTCAGTGCCTGACAACCCTCTTGGCAAAGAAATTTATCTTAGTATTGAGCAAGGGGTGCTCCACAATCCTGGAAATGTTATTGGATTCAGGCAAATGCTTCCTGCTGTAGCATTTGTTGGTATGTGCTCCCAGAGATGCCAGCTGAGCTGCAGCTGTGTGGAAATGTCGTCCAGAGCAAAGCATTAGGATGTTTCCTAAAGGACCTGCCAAATGTCACTAGATCAGGATTTTAATTTTTCAACATCAAGAGGGTGAACAGTCAGAATCCAAACGGTACTTAACTCTAGGTAGTCATGTGAAGTGCAGTATTATGCCTCTTCACTACGCTGCTCTATCAGCTCCAGAGCCATCATGTTACCATTTTTTGGACCAGATGTGGTAAAAATACGTATTTTTTAAAACTCACAGTTGTGACAGTTGAGCCTTTGTCATAGTGAAAATTTCACAGGCATAATACAATGCAGTTTTCCATGAAATCTGTAGCTCACAGTTCTGTCCAGAGCCTGAATCACAAAAGTACTTTTGGGCACGTGATTATTGTTTCCAGCCCATTTCTGAGTCCTTCTGGAGTCACTGAGTTAAACACTTCTCTCAGTATTAAGGATCTGGTCTTCTGTTTCTGCCTTTGGTGCTGGACTCTGCTGGAGGGAGCAGAAGCTTCTTCTGGGTAGTGACTGCAGGGTTTGGTCTCTCACCTTGCTCTATGTCTCTTCCTTTCAGGTACCAAGACGTTTTCAAAGCCCATTTTAAAAATGTATATATATATATAATTATTTTTTTTTTTAACCTTTCCTCACAGGGGTGTTTGCATTTGGACTTTTTGCCACTGACATATTTGTAAACGCTGGCCAGGTTGTGACTGGGAACTTGGCTCCCTACTTCCTGACTGTGTGCAAGCCCAACTACACTGGGAACGACTGCCGGGCCCACCACCAGTTCATCAACAATGGCAACATCTGCACGGGGGATGTGGAGGTGGTTGAGAAGGCAAGAAGATCCTTCCCATCCAAACATGCTGCTCTGAGCATCTACTCAGCTTTATATGCCACGGTGAGTGCCAGTGGTGAGTGCTGGCTTGCATGAGAGGTTTCTGTGCGTGCATCTGGATGGAGCTATTTTTCTGAAAATGTCGGGGTTTTTTTTAAAGAAAATGAGTGTTGTTTTGGGAAGGGCTTTCTTCTTTATTTGTAAGGGAAGACCCCCTTCTCTCTCTGTTTCACCAAATTCAATGCTCATTGCTCTTGAGGCACTGTATGATGTACAGGTACATCAGGCTGTATGATGTTCTAATCTTTTCTTTGCTGCTGAATTTCTTGGGAGCCTTTCAGTGTGCATTAAACCTCCTCTTCTCCCCAGCTCAAGAACATTAAAATGAAGTTCATGCTGAAATGGCTCCTGGATCACTAATACTTCTTTTGGTCACATGCCGTGGGTTTTTCAATACTTAATGTGGCAAATCTGCTATTTCAGTGGGAGGCTGAACTGTGCTGGATTTTGCTCCCCCTGTTTGGGACAGTTACACCTACCAGACTAATCAAAATTCAAGGCCTTGGCACTTGGAGTGGCTGCACTGAGCATCCAGGAGATGCATCATGTTCTGCAGAACCATCCTTGTCAAAGGCTGCTTCTCTCTTACCAGAGAAATCTCTGTGGCAAAGGTCTGTATAAGCTTGTAGGACGTGGCATTTTCCAGTATTGGTGTGACACTGTGAACTTTCCAAGGAAACAAAACTATCACAAATCTCCCCACCCTCTGACTTCTCACACTCCGCCTTTCTCATCCTAGATACAACATACGCTCTAAATATATATAAGCATATATTTACATATATATACATGTATGTATGTCCATTTTAAACTCGCAGACAAAACAGTCTCCTTGACTGTCTATGCTTTTGCCTGTCTGAAAAAGAATTACACACAGGATGAATGCTTCTATCACACATTGCACATTGCTAAATACACTGCTTGAGTGTACTGATAAGACCGGAGCAAAGGAGCTGGATAAATAATTTACATAGTTGAATCATAAGTAGTTTATTTTTTTTTAAATGTTATTTATTCTGTTTTCCTTCCCAGCCTCTCCTGGTTTTGACATTTAGAATTTTTTAAAATAAATTTACCCTGTAAATAGGATTGTGGGAAATTAGAAACAAAAACAAAACCCAAACACTTGATATGTGTAGGAAATCAAATGTGACTTTCACTGAGATTTTGGGCTTTTACACAAGGCTTTGAAAATATGCTCTTAGTGAAAGAGCAAACACATTATGAGAATGGTAAAAAATATCTTGGCTTTAGGGACCAGTATAATAAAGGTCAAACCACAGTGATGGGGAAGTCTGACCAGAATGGAGAAGCTTTCCCAGTTATTTTTGAGCTCCGTGTGTGACTCGTGGATGAACTGGAACATACCTTCTGGGAAAACAGTTTGCCTTGTTTTAAACCCCCCTCATGAGCATTTAGCAGATTTCCCTTGGCAGTCTGTTTGCACAGTTAGTTCCCCTTGTTGCCAAAATTGTTCTCTTTACTACAAATTTATGTTTTCATGCTGAGACATGTGAAGCTTCAGATACATTAGGTGCTCCCCATCTCCCATGCAGGTAACCTGAAGATCCACTTTCATCTCAGACCTGTAAGAAAACAAGCACGTGTGGGTTGTTCTCTGTAGCTGGTGTTTGCAGCTGTGGCAGCAGGGTTGCATTCCTCCTGCAAGGAGGTGATGCTTCTCCTTTGCATGCTGTGCTGCTTTCGTGGGGAACAGGAAAGCAATCCAGCTCCCTGTTGCTCCTTTGAATTGGCATCTGCTAAAAGAACCACGTGGGGTGGAAGGGTGGATGGCAGTTATTCACACAGTGGCACTGATGTTTTTTCCTGTTGTTTCCAAAGAAGAACCCTAAGGTGAGCTTTGGTGATGGTGTGGTCACCAGCAGGCCCAGGGCAGGATTGCTGCCTGGGGCTCAGCTGGGAGTGCCGAGTCCAGCCCTATGCTGCAGTCAGGAAAAACAGAGCAGGCAGGAATGTCTGGAGTAGCTTCATCCCCTTCCTGGTGCTGTTACGCACCACAGTGTTCCAGTTCATAAATTGAATTCACCTCTAAATAGTGTGCTCAGCAGCACGTTGAAGAGCAGAAAATTTCACTTCCAGGGACAGAGTTGTGGCAAATTCAGCTGTTAGAAGTCTGGTACTGCTGTTCCTTGGCAGGTGAAATTGTAGTTTAGCCTTGGTGCAGGTCTGGAGGCAGTCAGATCTGCCTTCCCTGGTTGGCTTCTCAGGCCTGTCCCTTTCCTTTCAAGGAGGTGTTGCTGCATCCCCTCCCTTCTCCTAGAGCTACATGTTGGCTTTAGGGCAAACATCTGTAACACCATCCAGTGAGGAGAAGCCAGGACATTTGGTGGCCCAGTCAGGGAAAAGATATACGGACAGGGAGAAAGTTTGACTAAAAAATATGGTACAGCAGAGTAAAGGAATATATGAAAGGCAATGAGCAGAGTGACCCTGAGAATGCATAAAATTTCTGCTTCTTGATCCCAAAGCTGTGTGCCAGACCACAGTGACCTCTGTATACCTGCCTCATGAAGAAAGGGACAGGCATTAAAGTACAGTTAAATAATTGCCCGTGGTTGCCAAATAGATCATGGAGTGTGAAGGAAACTGTGCTGGCAGCTGCAGTTGGAAGCACTGAGCCAAACCTGCCTTTGGCATAGGCACAGGAGAATCCTGAGGCAGCTTCACCACATCCAGGTCGTTGTGTTCTCAGCCAGAAATGGGTGGTGTGAGCCAGCACCATGGCTGCTTCTCACTCTGTGCATTTCTTTTAGCAGGAGCCAATTCTAACTCCTTAGCTGCTGCTGCTGCAGCAGCAGAGAACAACTCAGTGTGCCTAGCATCTTGCAGAGTCCCATGTCCTTCCCCAGAAGTGAAGTCATCCCAGAAGAGGATGGGGTTTGTGACCTGCTGACTGCACAGTGACCCTAGCTGTGCTGCTGTTGCAGGCATGATTGAAACAATAAGGATTTTCTCTAGAGGCCTCTGTTCACAAGACTAACAGAACCGCATTTCCATGCCTCACAGCTAAAAAAGGGAATAGTTTCTGCTCTGGTGATTTTACTTATTTTTACAATAAGATAACATATATTTTTCTTTACAAATAAACTGACATTTTAGAATCCTAGAATCACAGAATTGTTTGGGTGGAAGAGCCCTTGAAGATCATCAGGACATCTAATGTTTCAAATGTATCTTCCTGATTCTGTTTCATGTATGGGAGACAATGTGTCATCTGCAGACGTTTCTGGCAAATGTATTTGATATATTTGTTTTGCTTATCCAAGCTTTGGGAATTACGCAGGCACCCATACTTCCTTGCTAAAAAGCATTTTATTGACTTGTTCTGCTCCCAGACCTGGTTTGATTGATCTCTTCATTTTGTGGCTCTGGAATTAACGACTGGCTGCTGTGACTCACATGGTTTTACTCTCTCTGACAAAATGCATTTAAAATGAAAGATAAACTACCAAAACCACAGATGGTTCATTAAAAAAATATTCAGAGCACAATGAAACTACATACTCTGGAATTAAATTTTCAGGATCAACTTTATTTTGGGAGAAATCTCATATTCTGTGTTTCATTTCATCTTGCAGAGAAAATGTCCGGAATGGTTTCTCTTAATGTTCTCTGTTTCTTAAACTTAACACTGCTTAGGATACTGGAGCAGCTGGTTCATATGGATGCTGGGCAGTCCTCTGTGTGCACCTCACAGTTTCTGCAGGATTATGAACATAAATTCCTAACTCCCTGTGCAGACACTGAGTCATGTACACCCAGAGTATGTGTGTGCCACGGATGAGCACGTGACGCACAAGTTGGTAAAACTGAGCCTGTAGGCACCAGCTCAGAAAAAGTCCAGTGTGTAAATGCAGTCGATGGGATATTTGACATCCTGAAACAGCATTGAACAGTATCTGGTTTGTTTCTTTAAAAGTGTTCCCTGAATTTAACCTCCGCCTTCCCTTCCCAGTGCTTTCCTTAATGAATCCTGAGTTTTGCCACATCCTTGCTGATTTAGAATTTGTCTGGGTGGAAAAAGACGTGTGTCTGGCAGAGCCCCTTTTCACTTTCAGCTTACCTTTTGTTTCAGATGTACATCACAAGCACAATTAAGACAAAGAGCAGCAGGCTAGCCAAACCCGTGCTGTGTCTGGGCACCCTGTGTGCTGCCTTCCTCACCGGGCTCAACCGAGTTTCTGAGTACCGAAACCACTGTTCGGATGTGATCGCAGGCTTCGTCTTGGGTAGTGCTGTAGCTTTGTTTCTGGTAAGCCCACCAGTCCTTCTGCATTCCTTTAAAAAATAACTCAGTTTAAAAAAAAATAATAATAATAAAAAAATCACTACTCTCTTGTGGCCTCTTGCAGCTGATTAATCCACTTGCTAAGAGCTAATTCTAACTGCATCTGATGAAAGGTATCATCAGAGAAAATCCTAATATGAAATCAGGTTGATACTAATTAATAAGGCTAATATGAGACATTTGTGCATTGCATATATTTCAATATTATTTTAATTACTGGTCATGCTCCTACTTGACCTGTCCTAGAAAATGCTTTAAAGATGGTGCAGAATTCAGCTGACTTCAAAATGGCTTGAGACCTCTTCTCTGAGCCCCTGTGTTGCAAAGTCCCAATGTCTGCCAGGTATGTGGCAGCAGTGTAGGAGACAGTGTTGTCTGGCACTCTGAGCAGTGGTCCTGGTTCTCCATTTCATTTCTAGACCATGAAAGAAATTCACTAGGAAGGAAGGTCAGGACAAACCCCCTGGGAGACAAAACTTGCTCGCTTGGCAGCATTTGGGGTTGAGCTGAAGTGGTTCACCATCTTTTATTAACAGGTATCAAAGGCCCTTCCGTGGAATCTAAGAACAGCACCTCCAGTGTTCTTGACCGGGTGGTTTAGGTGTTTTGTCTAGTGAGGGATCTGTTGCTGAGGGTCTACCCGTAGAGCAGTCATGGTGATTCTCACTGCTACCAAGAAACATGCCTTGTTCCCATTTAACCAAAATATGCTTCAAAATTATCCACTGCAGAGCAACAGACACTTTATCCTGGTGATTAGAAGGTATTAGGTTTCAAAGATCCCTTAAATGTAGACTGTCCTGCCACTGATTTTTTTCCATTCTGTACTTAAAAAAAAACCAAAACCAAACCAAAAAACCAAACCAAACCACAGAGCAAAAACCTTCATATATTCTTTATCCATGTGTTCCCTTTAAATAAAAAGATATCTGCAACTTCTGACCTAAATCTCCTTGGCTTTTATGTGAGTAGCTTGTCTTCTGATTATTCCCACTGGAAAAGGCAGTTTGAATCTGCAGCACAAGAGGCAGTGACCCCCTGTATCTGGTGAGGACAGACTGTGCTGCCAGTGCCTGTTCCCTGCAGTGGCAGGCACACCTTGGCCCGCCGACCGTCTTGCTC